GTATTCTTTGGTAGATTAATTTTTTTTTTTTTTTTTTAGTAGATTAATTTTTGGGTCTCAGATTTTTCCCATTTAAGTTCATGGTAAGAGCTGCTTTGTTAAATGCTATTTTGTCTTATTTATTGGAAAGCTTTACTTTTGCATAGTGAGGAAAACCTATAGTATAGAAGTTTTCAGACATGCCTGAGGAGGACATTAGGTGGAGCTACTGGTGTGGATTGTGGCGCTGTGGGTTAATTCAGTTTCAACCATAAGGTCAGCAGTTCAAGCTCACCAGCTGCTCCTTGGAAACCCTATACAGCAGGGTCGTTATGAGTTGGAACCAGTTGTTATTGTGAAGATATTGTGGTTCTCATGTGTTTATTTTTGTAGTTGCTGTTAAAGTGCCATCAAATCAGTTCTGACTCATAGTGATCCTCTTTAGAGTTTCTAAGGAGTAGCAAGCTGTTGGGTTTGAGCCACCTACCTTGTAGTTCAAACTGACTTAGTAAAGGTCCAGTGCATTATTCTGCAGTGCAACACCAGGGAAAGGATACTGAACTCTTAAGACTTTAGAAACAGAACTGAGCTCAAGAAAGTAGGTTAATGGACATGTAACCTCTATCAAGTAGAGTAGGCTCAGGGTGTTTTTAATTCTTGGGAGAGTTTAGGCTCTTAAAAAGCAGTGGCATAAAAGTTTGATTCTTAGTGTGAGCTTTTATAGTGCTTTAGGCCCTGAATCAAGACCAGTGGTTTGCTGTAGCTATTGGTTTCAAACAGGATCCAAGAGCAGTGTCTTTCTGTGGTCTGTTGGCTATTCAGTACTCCAGTGGGGAATGGCCAGTGCAGTTGGAAGAAACATGTAGAATATAATGCCATTTATTTATTTTAATAATTAGTAGACTTTATTTTTTAGAGCAGTTTTAATTTTACAGAAAAATTGAGCCGAGTGTACATACAGCAAGTTCTCATATACCTTCTTTATTTTGTACTACATTAGGTTGAAGATCAGCACTCTTTGGAGATAGGGACTTAACCAAAATAGTATTTTCTGTTTTCTATCCATTCATAGGAACTTTTGAGTTTTATGTCGTACTTTTCTCGCTGTCTTATAGCTTGCTGTGTGGCTCTTCTGGCATTAATTTCATTGTCCAATATCTTTAAGTACTTTCATTTCCTAATATTGGCAGTTATGCTGATTGTCCAAAGTAGAGTCACCTGGAGTAGCAGTGCAAGTTAGCGTCTTGATTTTCAATTTAGCTGTTTGTTCCATTTGGCCATTAATATGCTGTCTTTGTTAAGGTGGAGAAATCTTTTGTATAACTTATTAGCAGTTCATTAGAAAAGAAAGTAATTACTGTTTAAATGAACTATTTTCGCTGGTGAGTCTTAAATGTTGGTTACAGTTAGCCTTGGTGGAAATAGCATCTTTTAAAAGCTATTATAGTAGTATGTGCTGAGCTTTATACTTGGCAACAAAAATTTCAGTGCTTCTGAATCTTTTTCTATTTGTTGGACAGTGAGAATTTTTTGTGTTAAAGGAAGGCAAGATGAGGGAAGGGTGGAGGATGGAAGGGCATTGTGATTTTTTGAAAAAAAAAAAAAAAAATTTGCATTCCTAGCTAATTGTTTCCCTTGGTATTGCTGATAGGTGTTTCTCTCTCTTTTCCTAGGACTTGGATGTTGTGGGTGATGGAATGCAGTGTCCTCCTTCACCCTTGCTTTTTGATCCTTCATTAACGCTTGAAGATAATTCAATCAAAGAAATTGCCGAAGGTCCAGCGGATATATTGGCAAGTGAAGAACAACCCTAGCCAGACTTCCCTCATGTAGTGACCCAGCCAGGCAGAGGGCACCCTGCTGGCTAAAATGAACTCTCAGGGAGTGAGGGTGTCATCACAAGTAGAGTATAAAGATGCCCCAGATCCCAGATGTCTTTCGCTCAGTGATACCATATAAGGAAGGTACTTTAAAAAAAAATGCATTTTTCTGCCCCTGAATGCCCTTGTATCTTCAGTTCTCCAAATGGGCCCTTAGAATAACTTGTGGTCTCTGTTCCCCCCAATGCCACAGAATAGTACATAATTTATTTAGTTAATTAGAAAAAGTTAAGGCAAGGGATTTAGGTAAATTGTTTAAGGGGAAGGTTAACACTAGAATTGTTACTGTAGAATAAGTGCAAGTTGTGTGGTTTAGCTCCTTTCTCTGAGCCTTTTAAGATAGGATGCCTGTTGCAGGCCCTAACTGAAGACCAGCAGTTACATGTAATAGCTGATGGTTTCAAGCAGAGGCCCAAAGGACTGTCTTCCTGTGGTCTTTTGGCTGTTCTGGAACTTCCGCAGAACATGGCCATTTCATTTGGAAGAAACAACCCACAGCTCTTCCTCTCATTGGGAGAGCCTCATGAATGCTACAAGTAATGCGTTCTGACTCTGAGGGACTGGGATAGCTAACTATGGGCAACTCTCCTGAGTTACTTTACTTCTGTTGTTTTGCTGCAGTCACAAATAGGCTTTGCTGAGGCAGTTTTATGCTTCAAATTGCAATGAATGAATTTGTAATGAAGTACCCTTGTTTCTTTTAACAGGGCCAGATGCCGATGGATGTAGATGGATGCAGATCCCAGGGATCTCGAAATTCTGAGAAAGCCTCTGTACTATTGCCTCAGAGTGGAGTGGCTACTGCAAATGGGAAAGCAGAACCCACTTCTATCAGTTGATAGTTTGTTTGGAAACCATTTGACTTTGGCAGATTTAAATTTCCCATTTTCCAAACAAGTATTTCTGACCATCTTTGACTAAACTAGGGCAACTTTGTTTTACTTCTGGGTTATTAAGTACTATAGTCAAATCAGATTTTGGAGGAATAGACTAATACTGACTGAAAGTTGTGGGTTTCTTTTCACTCTGGGCAACAAAGAGAAGGATAGGTGATTTCTCATGGATCTGCTGGATTGAGTAAGAATTGAAAGAGACATCTATGTAATGGTTCCCAAGTCATGAATAGGAACCTATATACGTGATTACGTGGGAAGTGTATGTTTGAGTGGTGCCCTAGAATATGGATGGATTCAGTATCTGGTATCTCTATCCAACAAGCTGTGTTGTAACCTTTTCTTACTTGTCATGTAATTGAGCAATTTGAAGCCCCCCCCCCCCCCCAATGAACTCTGATCTATGATCTGTAGGAGAAAATAACCCACAGGACTGGACCCCCTCTAACCAGTTTTTTGCTTCTAACCTATGTAAATTTCTGTAGTGGCTATCATATGTAAGATATATAAAAATCTATTGTATACAGTTTCTGTTAAATGTTAAAATACTATGAAAATGTAAAACAATCACGAATTGAACATGTGTTTTGTTGTTTGAGTGGTTTTTTTTTTTTTTTCGGGGGGGAGGTGGTGTCTTAGGAAGCTGTTTCTGATGGGAAAGGTGAAAACAAGACAGATAAACTTCTATCCCAAGAAAAGACATTTGGTGACTTACTTTGGTTTGGAGGATAAGGTTAAAAACCTTCCAGTAATGGAGAAGAACGGGACTTCTATTAAAGACTTACGAGTTTCAGGTATCTTTCCTCTTTTAACCTTTCTGTTCCTCCCCAAACCTACTGTACAATTAATGTCTAGTTGTCATCTCAGAAGTCTTCAGTGGTAGGATTATACATAAAACATTCAGAGAGTAGGTATAAATTGTTGGCATAAAACTTCAAGATCGATTTGATGCTGAATTTGTAGCTCAGCTGGATCTTGCTGTGTACTCTGGACTTCTGAGTCTAAATAGCCTAAAGTTTGAGTAGCACAAAATAACTTCAGAGGATCAAAGTAAGACCACTGCTGCTTCTCCCTTTGCTTATGGATCAATATATTCCTACTGCAACATAAATCTATATAGAGGTATTTGATTTGATGGGTATGCTATATGCCCTGAAGGGTGGCATCCCATTCTTGCAAAGTATTTTCTCCCATCTAATGTTTTCAGCTGGCCTTTAGTAGGTCCAGTGTTTTTTTTTGAGCTAACTGCTTATGTGATAGGTCTAGTGAATCTCTGCTTAACTGAAGTGAATGCCCTGTTCTGGTGCTGTATTATATGGAATTTCATATCTGTGATGCTAGCTAAGGGAGTGAAGGCAGGAAAGGTAAAACCCATACCCATAAATTCCCTGTTGACTCTACTCATATGGAAGGGTTGCTACCAAGAAACTGCTGGTTGGTGTCCTTGAGGAATTGTGCTATATTGTTGAAGGGAGTGGTAACTAGATGGGTTGGTATGTAGGGACTTGACTTCTTACATTTATGTTGCATGTCTGGCTCTTGGCAGGCATTGGATTTGTAACATGGTTTAGGTGTTTGTCTTTTCTTCAGAAAGACAAGTACATGATTTATTCAGTTAACTAGAAAAGTTAAGACAGGGAATTTAGGTTTATTGTTTAAGGGGAAGGTTAACAATAGAATTGTTCTTGTAAAATAAGGGCAAGTAGTACCTCCTAACTACTTTCCCAGTCTCAAGTTTTGCCCCTTGATCCATACTGCGGACAGAATGACCTTTCTGAAACAACCTTAATGCTCTCACTGTTGATGTCGACCCCTTTATATTAACTAAAGATGCATTCATGTCTGTGTCTGTGTATCTTTACACCTGTACCTGTACTTGTTCTCCGGATGGAGTGTGACACAGCTGTCTCAGTTTAGTCCTTTGCATTGCCATTTCCATTGAGTCTTGCAGTCCATGGATATGATACATCTTTCCATATAGACCTTTAATTTTTCTCTCAAAGTTTTATATTTTCCCTCAAAGTGGTTTTCACATGATTTGTTGGAGTAATTGCTGTATACTTTTTAAAAAACATAAATTGCTTTAATCTTTATTACTGGTTAATGAAAATAGATTTGATTTCTGTATGTTGATATCATTTTTGCAGAGTTCTATTAGTCTAATGATTTATTTGTAGATTCTTTTGCATCTTCTAAGTACATAACCATATCATCCATAAATAATAACTTTTATTTCTAATTAAACCTTTTATTTCTTTTTCTTTAATATATTGGCTTGAACTTCTAGTACAGTATTGAATAAAAGTGGTTAATAGAGGGAAAACTTGATCTATATCAATGGATGCAGTAGCTCAAAAGATGGAACAAATCTTTACAGCAAGGATCATCCCACCCCATCCATACACAGAGTAGACAGGGATGGGCAACTTGGACATTGGCTGCCCAAAATGGGGGTAGGTGGGGCTTCAAAGGCAAGAAGTGACTGGTTTACAAGCTTTCAAGAGTGAATCGAGATCCAGAGGGTGTGGAGGAAGATAGTCTTCACTGAGTAGTATCCAATCTGTCTAGGCAGGGCTGATGAAAGGAAATGTAGGTCAAATTCATCAAATTGTATCAGATTACTCTTTTTTTCTTCTTTCTTCTAGTTGAGTTCTGATCATCCACTCATTGAAGCCAGGTCAAGTGGGTATTTGTAAGTGTGGGTGTTCTTGTGCATAGGCCATCTCTTCTTATCAGCTGGACACTAAACTCTCCACTCTAGTCCTCTGTGGCTGTGTCACTGACTCTGGGCCCAGGAGTCCCCAGGTCTTGCCACACTGCTGGCCAACCAGGTTTCCACCAGGGTTCAAAGGAGTCTATTGAACATTGTAGGGCTTAGCTCGCAGCTTCATTGCTGTTTTTCCCTCACTTCCCCTTATCAGTGATGAACGTGGCCACCAATCAGAATGTGTATTCCCATAGAGTCTTAGTCTTGGAAGGGGGTTTGCTCTGAGGTGACCCGACCACTTGGCCTTGATGTCTCCTGGGTGAGCAACTTGCTTGTTCTTGTAGTAGTCAGTCGGTCTGCCTATAGTGTTTTGTACATTTCCTGTCAGTCTTTTCTTCCAAGAAGTATATTCTGTTCTAGCCACTCCAGGCTGGTCTGCTTGTCTTTTCAAATGGAAATTTCCCTCCTTTGAAGATTCTGGATGCTGTTCAGGATTCCACCTATGGTCTTTCGTAATGCAGAGGCTCTCTGCAGGAAGTCTCCTTCACTGGGCCGTTGTAGCCCCATTTTAGGTATACCAAAGGAGCTCTGGTAGTGTAGTGGTTACGAATCGGGCTGCGAACATTAAGGTCAGTAGTTCGAAAATACCAACTGTTCTGCGGGAGTAGATGAGGCTTTCTGCACCCATAAAGATTTACAGCCTTGGAAACCCTATACAGGGTTGCTAAACCAACTCCATAGCACATAACAACAACAATTAGTTATAGGCAGAAGATGGACTTATAAGCTTTCTATGGTGATATTTCTGGCTATTCCTTTCTCTCCCCCTCAAGTGTCTATTTTATAATGGAATGCCAGGAAAACCAAGATTCAGAAAATGATTGATGCCTTTGGGTTATGGTGTTAGTGAAGACAGAAGGACAAATCTGTCTTGGATGAAGTACAGTCAGAATACTTAGAAACAAGGATGGCAAGACTTTGTATCATGTACTTTGGACATATTGTTAGGAGGGACCAGCCTCTGGAGAAGATCATCATTGTTGGTAAAGTAGTGGGTCAGTGGCAAAGAGGAAGACCCTCAACAAGGTGTAATGAGACCCTGGCTGCAACAATGGACTGAAACAATGATTGTGAGGATGATTAGTATGATGGCCCAGGACCGGGCAGTGTTTCATGCCATGTAGGGTTGCTATGAGTAGGAAATGACACCTAACCAGAAGTATGCAATAATGCTTATTTATTAAATAAATGCATCAGGAATCTATCAGCTAGCCAATTAGTTAATCACTTCATAGTCTATTCCCCAGCCTTATCTCCCACCCAATTATCCATTTTTGCCATATACACTTAACTTTTGCTTTGTATCTCCAGGTACATGCGAGAGGTGGAGAGGTGGTGGAGGATAAATTCTAGGAAGGGAAGCTAGAAAATCGATAGTTGGGGCTGATAAAAAAGAGTAGATTTAGAATAGGAGAAAATGTGAAATCCAAGGGAAATTGTAATAGTTCAATGTGCTTTTACTAATAAGATGATGACTGAAATTCTTGTTTCTTGCACCTTTGTCATTACCTTAGCTTACCAGGTAGTGCAATGGATTAAGTGTTGAACTACTAAGTACAAGGTTGGTGGTTCAAACCTACCTTGCTATTCCTCTGGAGAAAGATGAGGCTGACTGCTCCTGTACAGATTTATAGTCTTGGGAGCAGTTCTACTTTGTCCAATAGGATTGCTGTAAGTCAGAATTGACTCAATGATAGTGGGTTAGTAATTTTTATTTTGCAGCCTTCATTTATACATTCTGCATACAATTCCCTTGTGACACTAGTAGCATTATCCTTACACGAACCTAGACGATCTGGGCTATTTTTTGGCAAAGACAAGAGGGTAGGGGAAAGATGGAGGGATGGTAGGATATAGGAGATTGTTTTACTATGCTCCAGAGACCTGGACTAAAATGTAGATGAAACAAAGATGCCAACAAACAAAGTAGTTAGGTCAGCCTCTGGGTATGTCCAAGGAAATATCTTCTGGGCCATGAGATGAGGGGGTTATTTTGAGGAGAAGCAGCAGGAAAAATTTATATTATAGATGAACTAATCCCTGGTGGGGAGATAGGCGAACCAGGCAGGAATTACAGGTCAGAGGGTGCAAAGATGATAAAAGCATTCTGGGGAACGGGAGCAACTCTGAATTACTGAAGTACTCTGCCGGGAAGTGAAATTGGAGAGATTGCTGGATT